TACATATGTATACATATGTATGTATACATATGTATATATATCGTATTTGATGTCCTCCCGGACATGCGTGACTGTGACTCCGTCCAATAAAAATGTTTAAATATATGGGATCGGATCACAACAATAGTTATATCGAATAAATTAAACGCTCAAAACCGCCACTGGCCGTTAGTTTTGCTCAAACAGGAGGGTCTGGAGAAACGATTCCGGGAATCCTCCGATTCCACATGAGGAAAGGGAAACGCGAATAAGGTTGCAGGAGGAGGAGGAGAGCGCTGACCGTTGTCGAGCATGAGATGGGAGAAGAAGTCGGCGGGGGAGCTGCTGTGCCTCAGCAGGAGATTACCGTCGCCGCCCTTGGGGCAGCTCGACGACGGATCGGTGACCATGGACGGCGCTGCCTTTCGGCCCCTGCAGTGCTCGAGGTCCCGCGACGAAGGGGCCGCGGCGGAGGCGGCCGACTTACAGCTCGACTCCGACGCCGGCGACGGGGACTCGCCCGGGAACAGCCTCCTCGTGAAGCCCGCTGCCGCTTCTCCCCCGATGACCGAATCGGCGACGCCGGAGAGGAAGGTCCCCGGCGCCGACCCGTATCGCATCAGGCCCAGCGGGGAGGGCACCTGCTGGTGAGGCGACGGGAACATATCCGGCTTCCTTGTGCCGCCGCCGTCCGGAGGGCTTCGGTGGTGGTTCATGGCCCGCGATTGCTTTAGCTGGCGAAACGTGGTAAGCATCTTAAAGTTCTCAGACGGTGCTCCCACTTGCATGGTCGGAGATGATGTGGCGAGACACATGATTTTAAAGGCGGGTCCCACAGTCAAAATATATATAATTATGTTAGAGTTATTTAAGGATAAATTATTATTATTCTTCTTCTTAAATATGGACCTAACGAATTTTTCTCTTACATTAACTTTTGAATTAGATTTTATATTAAGTTTTACAATTAGCTAAGTCCCGTTAGTCTCTCTCCTCTCTCTCTCTAATATATATATATATATATATATATATATATATATATATATATATTTGCACATAACAAATGGAGAAGGTTTTGCATAAAGGATGCAGTAGATTTTTGGTACAACTTGAGCAATAAACTAAGGGAGAACCAATATAATTTGAAGATCCAAACCTACTTCCTTTGCTTGTTGAATTTTCAGATATATTTGACGAACCATACAACCTACCTCTTACCCGTCGGCATGATCATTATATGACTATTCTTTCAGGCAAACCTCCAGCAAATACTCGGTCATATCAATATGTACATCTCCAAAAGGATGAAATAGAAAGGATTGTAAAAGAGATGATCGAAACAGGAGTTATTCGGCCAAGTTGCAACCTCTACTTTTCACCGGTGCTACTTGTACGCAAGAAGGACAGAACATGTCGAATATGCGTTGATTACCGAGCTCTCAATGGCATAACCATCAAAGACAAATACCTTATTCCAATAGTAGATGAATTGCTAGATGAAAGGGAACACAAATCTTCACAAAGCTGGACCTTTGATCGGGGTATCATCAAATATGAGTACGCGAAGAAGACATACCGAAAACCACCTTTTGAACACATAACAACCACTACAAATTTTTGCTTTCTTCAACATAAGGTGGAATATCTTGGGCATATCATATCAGAGGAAGGTGTGATGGTGGACCCCTTCAAAATTGAAGCAATGCAAAACTGGCCTACCCCGAGGAACATAAAATTACTACATTGCTTTTTGGGTTTAATAGGCTACTACCGTAAGTTCGTGAAAACCTATGGAAAGATCAATGCACCACTTACTTTCTTACTGGAAAAAGATGTCTTCCAATGGCTAGATAGAGCCTCTGCTGCCTTCGACAAACTTAAGGCAGCCATGACGACGACGCCAGTGCTAACACTACCAGATTTCAACCGACCCTTCATTATTGAGGCCGACCCATCTAGAGTCGGAATTGGAGCCATTCTCATGCAAGATGGTCGACCACTTGCATACACTAGCAAGGCATTATCTCCCTCCCATTAAAATAAGTCAACATATGATAAGGAGATGCTCGCCATTGTACGCGCAGCAACGAGGTGGAGACCCTACTTGATCGGTCGACGATTTCAAATTAAAACCGACCATAAAAGCCTCAAGTACTTTTTGGAGAGAAAGATATCATCCCCTGAGCAGCAAAAATGGGTAATAAAACTTCTTGGATTTGATTATGAAATAACTTACGAAAAGGGGAAAGAGAATGTTCTTGTAGATGCGCTTTCGCAGCTACCCGAGCAAGCTGAAGTTTCGGCCATTTCACTTCCGACCAGCGACTCCCTTGAGGATATTAAGATGGAATGACAGGAAGATTTAGAGACTAGTAAGATTATAAAAAAATTGGAGGAAGCACCAAGCTCCGTGGCTCATTACAATTGGGACTCAAAAGAATTATACTATAAAGGGTGCATTGTGCTGATGATAAATTCTAATTGCATCTTTACAAACAGATTTTGGACAAAGTTATTCCATATGTAGGATATTAAATTGAAAAGGAGTACGGCATATCACCCATAAACCGATGGCCAGACGAAAGTTATAAATAGGTGCTTGGAGATAGCCCAAAGCCACCCACCAAATAAGACTACCCAAGGAGAACTCCAGACCCAACCAAGTGCCATTATTGATCGACGGATCGTGACTTGACGACGACGACCCACTAATGAAGTGCTAATACAGTGGGCGAACCTACCAATAGAAGATGCCACTTGGGAGAACTATGACGACTTGAAGATCAAATTCCCAAAATTCATGAATCATTAGCCTCGAGGACAAGGCTGATTTGAAGAGGGCGGGTCTGTTAGGACTGTTGAATCACGTATTTTGATGATGAAACTACTTG